GCTATATTCATTACTTGTTCCGATATTGCTTTGTATTGGATCCGATCATAGTGTTGTTAACCCGAGCCCATCCGCTCACAATACCTGAAGACGCCTACCATCTTACTTTCAACTATAGGACCAACTGTATTGGATCGTTCGAGTAGGCTAATAACCTCATTAGGGATTTTGATTGGTCCGCTTTGTACTTGTGCACTGATGTCATAAAAGGCACAAACATTTTTTACAATGCTCTTGGTACATTTTTTGATTCTTGTGTCCCGCTTTCTTGTCCGATTAGATCTGGAAAACCCCCTCGGTTTACCAAAGAGTTATCCAGTCTAAAAAACTTAAAATCAAGACTTTATAAAAAATTTCAAGAAGAGGTTCTCCTAATTCTCACTCTCGCTATGTAATAGCTCGGTCAAACTTTTCAGTTCTTAATGCTCAATGCTATAAGAACTACCTATCTCGATGCAGGATACGTTTTTCTCAGGACCCTAAACAGTTTTACTGCTTCGTAAACTGTAAGCGTAGAACGTCCGCACACTTATCCTCGCTATCATTTTGTAATACGTCGGCAAATAATGATCAGGCAATTGCCGATCTTTTTGCCCAATTTTTCCAAACGACCTATTCTGAGGAAAGCTACTCTGGTCATCCGTACCCATACGGTTTACCGAGGTCGAACGGCATTTTCAGTCCCTTGTTAAATTTTTCTATAATTCTTCTCCATAAACAAGGTAGCAAGTCTGACGCAAAAAATTATAGAGGTATAGCATAGTTATCCTAAAATGTTTGAGAAGGTTTTAACTCCGCACTTGCAACATCTCTGCAAGTCACTTATATCTCCAACTCAGAATGGATTTATAAGGCAGTAGCAGTGAGCTCTATGCAGTGAGCAAAAAGAAATACACTTGTAACAGTAAGCTCTGCAGTGAAAAATTACAAATAGTTTTGTAACAGTGAGAGATCTACAGTCAGTTCTCATAGTCTCTAAGATCTGTGGATGCCACAGGTGTTCCTCCTCTGCGTGGGTGGAAAGGGGTGGGGTAAAGTTTTGAAACATACTTGTGCAGGTTCGATATCATAGGAATGTGGATTACAAATTTGGTTGCTCTAGCTCGTATATTCTCTGAGATCTATGCGCTAATTTGCGCTAAGCAAAGCAGGGCTAGAAAATGATACGATCCAATTCAGATTCTGGTCTATCTATAAAAGATATGGTCATTCTCTACGATTCTGCGTTTTTTGTTTTCTCGTATCTTTGAAATCCATTTTTACCACAAATCCAATATAACCCAATACTCATTTTGAGTATCGGGTACTCAGGTATTAGGTATCAGAGCAATGTGCCAGACAAATGCTGAAAAGGGAATTAGTAAACACTGAAATTAGAGCGTTTGCAGCAACATCTAATAAGAGTCAGCGAGGAAGGAAGAACATTTATTTAGGGTTGAGTGATAGCACTAACCATACAGTATATAAATGTGCCAGTTCATACTACGAAAGCGTCACACGATGGGTTACCAGTCTGAGAACCCCAGAGACTTCGGCTCTGGCGTTTAGGTACTGACGCGTCATCATGAGAGAACGCAGAGAAAACATGTGTTAGAACACACGCAATATGTTCCCAGTGGACAAAAACTTCGTAAACGATATCGCAAACGAGAGTTACGCAAAACTCAGCCGTGTAAAAGTATCGAATTAAGATCTGAATTAAGATAAGTAAATTAATAACTAGTCGCTCAGTTTGTGGCAGTGAAAGTTTCACTGCTCAAAAACGGATCTTTTGCGAGTCTTTTATGACATCTTTTGCGAGCCTTCCATGACATCTTTTGCGAGACTTTTGCGAGCCTTTTATGATATCTTTTGCGAGACTTTTGTAATATAGATTGCGAGACTTTTGCAATATAGATTGCGAGCCTTTTGCAATATCGTTTACGAGCCCTTTATGTTATCTTTTGCGAGCCGAAAGTAATATGAAAAGGGAAGCAAATTTTGTTGTTTGTTTTTAATAATTTTTAATTTAATATGTATTCATTTTAATTTTTAATTTGTATAGTACATACAATGAATAGATAATTAGATTAGTGAATTAAATTTAATTTGTTTTTGCTCCTTCGACACTCTGTCCTGGGCGTACTGGAAGAATTTTTGAGTTATTCGGTCGAAATCGGCGTCTTCTAATGAAAATCTTTCCTCAAATCCCGCTGTAAATAAATATTCATGTTTATTATATCACAATATACATATAATAATTTGAAAATAATACTTACTACGGATGGCTAGAGTAACCCGAAAGCCCCTAATACAATTTTGCGCCTCTGTGCCAAAGTCAGTTCAATCGAAAATTTTTATTTTCGTTGACGAAGGTGGCCTGATGCACACGAAGATGGCTAGCAAAAATATATACATATACACAGAATGTGTAGATTTTTGTCTTTGTGATGTTTTATAATGCTCCCAAACTCAAATTTTGTGCACTATACTATACTATCAAATAAAGAATAATTTACTTAGCAATTTTTCCTTTTTATTGCACTATTAAACGGGGAGTAACGTTTACTTTCTTCCGCTGCGATTTTGCCAAGCCGCAGTTTTACATGTTCGTTAATGTTCTATTACGAGATCCGGCGTTTCTTGCGTTTGTTCCCGTTTTTGTGTCCGGTTGTGATAGTTTTGCGAGACATTGGTCGTCAGTCCGTCTGCGAGCATTTTGCGAGACTTCACCCGTACCTACATAGCTATTTTTATACCCGATACTTAAAATGAGTATTGGGGTATATTAGATTTGTGGTAAAAGTGGATGTGTGTAACGTCCAGAAGGAATCGTTTCCGACCCCATAAAGTATATATATTCTTGATCAGCATCAATAGCCGAGTCGATTGAGCCCTGTCTGTCTGTCCGTCTGTCCGTCCGTCCCCTTCAGCGCCTAGTGCTCAAAGACTATAAGAGCTAGAGCAACGATGTTTTGGATCCAGACTTCTGTGATATGTCACTGCTACAAACATATTTTAAAACTTTGCCCCGCTTTTAAAGATACGATAAAAACAGAATCAAGAAAACAATTTCATTCTTTCTCGCTCTGTCTCTCTCTAACACACAGGTTTCATGGTCGGTTTTGCCAATTGCAAAATATGAGTTCAAGGATCTCAGAACCCATTAGAGCTAGAGCAACCAAATTTGGTATCGACACTCCTGTGATATTGGACCTTGACCGTTTCGTGTCCAAATTTCGCCACACCCCCTTCCGCCCCCGCAAAGGACGAAAATCTGGGGCACAAATCTCAGAGACTATTATCGCTAGAGTAACCAAATTTGGTATCCGCACTTCTGTTAGATCTCACTATAAAAGTATATCTCAGAATTTCGCCCCACCCCCTTCCGCCCCCACAAAGGACGAAAAACTGTTGCATCCACAATATTGAGGATACGAGAAAATTAAAAACGCAGAATCATAGATAATATCTATCAGATCTGGATCAGATCAGATAATTTTTATAGCCAAAGGAACAAATCAATTTGCAGTGGCTACGCAGCGCCCGACGTCACGCTCAGACTGATTTTCTGTCTCTCTCGCACGCACTCTTTGTCGTGTCGTTTAATATTAGCGGCGTCTGCCGGAGGAGAGCCATACTGACTTAGTATCGGGTATAATTGTAGAGTTGCGGTGTCCGCAGCAACTCACAACGTTCCCCCTTCTTTCAATTATTTTTCAGTTTTCTGTCCATTTTTCACCCGTTTTAAGTCAGTTTGTGATAGTTTTGCGTAAATGCTCTTTTCTTAGTCCGTCTGCGAGACTTCACTCATCGCTCCCGGATCAGAAAATCAGTCTGAGCGTGACGTCGGGCGCTGCGTAGCCACTGCAAATTGATTTGTTCCCTTTGGCTATAAAAATTATCTGATCTGATCCAAATTCAGCAACCTGATAGATATGATCATTATCTATGATTCTGCGTTTTTAGTTTTCTCGTATCTTCAAAATTGTGGATGCCACAGATTTTCGTCCTTTGTGGGGGCGGAAGGGGGTGAGGCGAAATTTGGAGATATACGTTTTATAGTGAGATCTAACAGGAGTGCGGATACCAAATTTGGTTACTCTAGCGTTAATAGTCTCTGAGGATTGTGAATATCCCCAGATTTTCGTTTTCTGCGGGGGGTGGGGGTGTGGCGAAATTTTGAAACAAATTCGTCTCGGTCCGATATCTTAGGAGTGTGGATACCAAATTTGGTTGCTCTAGCTTTTATAGTCTCTGAGATCTAGGCGCTAATGTTTTACTCTCAGCAAAGCCGCTCAGCAAATGCTACGTGTGTGTTAGAGAGAGACAGGGCGAGAAAAAATGAAATTGTTTTCTTGATGCTGGCTATAATAATAATACGATCCAATTTAGATTCTGCAGTCTAAAAGATATGGTCATTCTCTACGATTTTGCGTTTTGGGTTTTCTCATATCTTTAAAATTGTGGATGCCACAGATTTTCGTCCTTTGTGGGGGCGGAAGTGGGCGGGGCGAAGTTTTGAAATATTTTTGTAGCAGTGACATATCACAGAAGTCTGGATCCAAAACATCGTTGCTCTACCTCTTATAGTCTTTGAGCACTAGGCGCTGAAGGGGACGGACAGACGGACGGACAGACGGACAGACAGACAGGGCTCAATCGACTCGGCTATTGATGCTGATCAAGAATATATATACTTTATGGGGTCGGAAACGATTCCTTCTGGACGTTACACACATCCACTTTTACCACAAATCTAATATACCCCAATACTCATTTTGAGTATCGGGTATAATTAAAAATATGAGACATACAATAAATTAAATTATATTCATGGAATTTCTTACAACATTATGGAGCCGATGTGCGTAACCAGGAACTAATACCTGAGAGGAGTCCAAGACGGATACCGAAACTTTATACAAGTTTCCATTTGATAACCTTATTATAATTTAATTAAATGAATTATTTAATATAGATTCTTACACAGTTCTAAGACATAATTATTATTTTTTTAGATTGGACGCGTGAAGCCGTTTCTAAGGCTGAAATTTTACGTTTGATTTATCAGGGACGTTTTCTTCATTGCAATGTAACGTTAGGAGCGCTGGGACTTCCATTAGGCAAGACGACTGTTATGCATTTAGTGCCTCGTGATAATTTGCCTGAACCCAATTCGCAAGGTGAGTTTAATATTATACGTTATTTGGGATGTATTTTTTTTTTATTATTAATACAGTACAAAATACATTAGAGATCGACGCGGAGATCCTTTTTAAAGCTCGGCCCGGCCCTTGCACTTTATAATTAATTATAATTTTTCAAGCAAAAAGAATTAGTTGAAAAAATTATAACTAACGAGGGGGAACGTTGTGACTTGCTGCGGAGACCGCAACTCTACATTTATACCCGATACTTAGTCAGTATGGCTCTCCTCCGGCAGACGTCGTTATTATTAAAAGACACGACACAGAGTGCGTGCGAGAGAGACAGAAAATCAGTCTGAGCGTGACGTCAGGCGCTCCGTAGCCACTGCAAATTGATTTGTTCCTCTTGGCTATACAAATTATCCGATCTGATCCAGATTCAGCAACCGGATAGATATGGTCATTCTCTATGATTGTGCGTTTTTAGTGATCTCGAATCTGCAATATTGTGGATGCAACAGATTTACGTCCTTTGTGGGGGCAAAATTCAGAGATATACGTTTTATAGTGAGAGCTAACAGGAGTGCAGATACCAAATGTGGTTACTCTATCGCTTATAGTCTCTGAGATGTGTGAATATCCCCAAATTTTCGTCCTTTGCGGGGGCGGAAGAGGGTGTGGCGAAATTTTCAAACAAATTCGTTAAGGTCCGATATCTCAGGAGTGTGAATCAAAAATTTGGTTGCTCTAGCTTTTATAGTCTCTGAGATCTAGGCGCTAATGTTTTACTCTCAGCAAAGCCGCTCAGCAAATGCTACGTGTGTGTTAGAGAGAGACAGGGCGAGAAAAAATGAAATTGTTTTCTTGATGCTGGCTATAATAATAATACGATCCAATTCAGATTCTGCAGTCTAAAAGATATGGTCATTCTCTATGATTCTGCGTTTCTGGTTTTTTCGTATCTTTAAAATTGTGGTCGAGCGTCACAGCGTGCACCCTGTCCGAGATGCGCAGGGTATTCAAGGAATGGTTAGAGCAGCACGGAGAAAATGCGCAGTATGCGGACGCGCTCGAAGGATGGGAAATGAAGGCGGGCAGAGTCTCGCCCTCGGCCCAGATGGAGGACGGACCGGATCCATACGAGCGCCTGACGCTGCCGGCGAGTGCGGAGCGTGCCACAGATTTTCGTCTTTTGTGGGAGCGCAAGTGGGCGGGGCGAAGTTGTGAAATATTCTTGTAGACATATCACAGAAGTCTGGATCCAAAACATCGTTGCTCTACCTCTTATAGTCTTTGAGCACTAGGCGCTGAAGGGGACGGACAGACAGACGGACGGACGGACAGACAGACAGGGCTCAATCGACTCGGCTATTGATGCTGATCAAGAATATATATACCTTATGGGGTCGGAAACGCTAACTTCTGGACGTTACACACATCCATTTTCACCACAAATCTAATACACATTTTGATTATCGGGTATAAAAATTGATTTTGATTTGATTTTTTAAAAACTACAAATAACAATTATTCCGAAACTTTCATTTAAAAAATCAAAAATAAAACTTAAATTGATTATCATTATCATCAACCAAGTGGTGAATTACCATACATTTTTGAGCTATAATTCAAATACCTTTCAAATGATACATCGCATGTCCTTCAAGGAGGAATATTAAGGATCCTACTAATTTATATTATATTCAATTATTTCTTGCACATTATTTTGCAGTACTATATGTAGCATTTACTAGCAAGCAAAATATTAATTGTTAAGACCACAATCTTTTTTTCACTATAATAGTTTAATAATTTCACAAATTATTGACTTTAAACGCGTTCCAATTTTTATTGTATGTAATTTGTATGTGGATAGTGGCAAAAGATGCCAGAGCCTTCCACAATATAAGTTAAGCGATTTATACACTAAGTTGCAGCGAGCTAGCCCATCCAATGGGCTATAAAAAGCAGTAACTAAAAGTAACTGACAGCATGATGCTAAGCGAGCAACGGTAATGGTACGATTTCGTTACGCTAGCTCAGTGCAATGACCAAAAAGGTACACAAAATAAATTGATATGCAATAGAAGGGAAAGTACAAAAATGTACTCCCTCCCGTGGGAGGATCCATGCATGCCCACTGCCCACCCTCTGCAGCAGGCTGTTTATCACAATGCAGTCAGCCACCTGCTCTTTTGTCCCGAAACTCTTTAGAGCTCGCAGATTAGCAATTTTGGTATCTAAACATTGTTGTAGAATCGATTCTTAAGCTAATCTAGCGCGATGGGATAGCTGGCCTGGCCCAATTCTAGTGATTCTAGTAATGAACATGGTTACGATTTCTACTAATCGTACGAGTAGAAAAGCAAATTATCAGTTCCTACTGATCACCTCTTAGACCACTAGGGCTATTGGGGTTGATTCCTTAAACCCCCACGTAACTTCCCTAGCGCCGTGCGTAATCTACACTAAGATTTTTGTGTTGATGGTGGCTTCTTTTGACCTACCGGACGTGCGTAACCATTGGACATCAAAAATGCCCACTCGAGTTATTTTTACTGGAGGAAAGATTTCTGCACAAATAAATTTTCAGATATTGAGTTATTGATAAGTACTGGTTTTATTTAGTAAAAATTTGCGGTTTATAAACAGTTTTTGATGCTTAGAATGTTTACTTAGGTCTGAAGATATCCTATGGATTATTACCCATACTATGCATTTTCTAATCATTCATTCATAGATGCATCCTGCTGCCTGTTGCAAATTTGCTTAGGTCAGCAGTACATTTCGCTCATAGTATTGGCGTCTTATGGCTTACTATTAACTTAGGTCTACTCGTACCATTAGTAAAAATCGTAACCTTGGTCATTTGTGAACAACTTGTTTTAGAGACGTAGAGATTAATAGCATTAATAATAAACTTAAAAAGTTTTAAATGACCTACACAATCGATCGCAGCATTCGAAGTGAATAACGCGTGAACGCTTACTTGTGCGCAACCGCCAGTCTGAATAACCATGGTTTTACGCGAATTAGCCAACGACATATTGTTTGTTATAATTGTTTATGTTTTTTATCACTTCAGGGGATTGAGCTATTGAGCTTCTTCAGTAGCGTAGATTCGATTGCGATAAAGTATAGTATTTAAATATTTTTTATTTTCGTGGATGCTGATGGTGAGAAACTTACTAAGAACCCGATGTCGTGTTTAAGCGATACAAAACAAGGGTGAAATACGGTCTATAGCCATTTGTAATAATAGGTAGACAGGCCACTGTGTCAGACGACGGAACTTGCGATTGCGGTGATGATCGATTAAGATGTGTTTTCTGAACCTATCTAGGCGCAAGAGCCTATAATGATCTCCAGTAGAGCCCTCCCTCTCGCATTCGTCGTCACGCTTTCCCACTCCTCAGCCCACGCATTAAAATCACCACCGATGGCTACTGGGTGACGTCCTCTAGCATCCGCCGCTAAGTTGTCTAGAATACCTGCAAATTCGGAGAGCAACAGGCTTGGGGCGAGGTAAACGCTGTAAACCCAGACTCTTCCAACTTAAGCACGTACAAAACCAACGTCAGAGCTTTTGAAGGAAAGCTGCAATGATGTGACACCGCATAGCCATATCGCGGCCTTTTTGGTGGCATCCAGGATGAATCCAGGAGACTCCCTATTTTGGTATGGCTCGTTGAGGATGGCGAGGTCAATTGCCACTTTTCTCACGGTTTGGCTCAGCAGGTCTTGAGCCGCAGCGCAGTGGTTGAGGTTGAGCTGTATAACCTTCATTATTGGGGTGGCAAGTTGGACGCACCCCTGTCTGCTCTGCATCGCCTGCTACACGCGTAGTGATTCCTCTCGTTGCTGTTGTTAGCAGGGCAGATGAAACACCATAGATCGCTCTGAAAGGTTGCCGCCTTGTGCCCGTTCTGCGGCAGCATCCGGTGCGATGTACCGCGTTCTTGCACTTGATTACTAGATGCCCAAACTCCAGACATTTATAACATCGTCTCCCGGATCCTACAGCTTGTCCAGCAGACTTTTAGTTTCCCCAGTTCCAGCAGGGCTCTTGCCTGCACGGGCGTCAGGCACACTACTGCCAGTTGTGTACTAGCAAAAGACGGACTCAAGATTTTAATGGCGCTGCTGTCTACGCTGGGTGCGTCTATTGTTGCAGCTATCGCTGCTGCGATGTCCTCCTTCGTGACCAGGCTGTCAAGATCCTTGAACTCCACGCAGAGTTCTTCTGTTTTTCTCTTCAGTTCCGCGCTGATGTCCTTGAGCTTAGCCGTGTTGCTTTTGCTCGCGCCGTTGAGCTCAAGCAACAGCTCGCTCTTTGCCGCCCACCGGATTTTGTTCACATTTTCCCCCACTTCCGTGAGCTTACCGTCCTGGCGCCTGGTGACCATTCGAAGGATGATGCTGTGAGCTGTGTAAGCTCACCCTGGGGTTGGATAATTATCGCGTCCGGTCTTGGCTCGAGCTCACGGGGCTCCCTTTTTTCTTTCCCCCGGTTGCCGCTTGAGCTGTTTTTTTTTTAGCGGCTGCGGTGGCACCATGGTCCACCGCTCCTGAGGGGGATTTTTATACCCGATACTCAAAATGAGTATAGTGGTATATTTGATTTGTGGTAAAAATGGATGCGTGTAACGTCCAGAAGGAATCGTTTCCGACCCCATAAAGTATATATATTCATGATCAGCATCAATAGCCGAGTCGATTGAGCCATGTCTGTCTGTCCGTCCCCTTCAGCGCCTAATGCTCAAAGAATATAAGAGCTAGAGCAACTATGTTTTGGATCCAGACTTCTGTGATATGTCACTGCTACAAAAATATTTCAAAACTTCGCCCCGCCCACTTCCGCCCCCACAAAGGACGAAAATCTGTGGCATCCACACTTTTAATGATACGATAAAACCAAAAACGCAGAATCGCAGAGGATGACTATATCTTCTAGAGTGCAAAATCTGAACCAGATCGTATAATTATTATAGCCAGAATCAAGAAAACAATTTCATTCTTTCTCGCTCTGTCTCTCT